CCCCAAAACCCCAAAACCCCAAAACCCCAAAACCCCTAAAAATAGTATAAAATTTGAAACAGATGTAAAAATTAAATTTAGTTTTCATAATGCCTACGAGAAGCCATTACCATAAGCCACACTTTAATGTATCGTAGGCATAATTATATTAGAAATTGTTTGAATAAAACCTGAAACCTTTAGGAATTATTTTTGTCTCTATTGTTTGTAAGATGTTGCTAGGTTTTCAAATATGGGATTAGTAAATTAATCTTACACATAGGAATTGGTAAGCTTAAATTTCTGACATGACAGCATTGAAATTTGAGAGTTAAGTTAAACCTCTATCTATAGTAAACAGATATCCTTTTCTAAGATCTTTTGAATTTAGAGAATGATTGTAGAATATTTTAGTATTAGATTTCAAGATCCACCATATCAAATCCGTTGCTTCTCGATAACTTTCCAACTGCTTCTCTGTTTTCGTCATAATTATGAAGTAAGATTTTTTGAAGATACCATTTTAGGTCAATTGAAGTCCCTAGCCCTTTGATCAAATTATGAAAATTCTGGAAATTATTCTCTTAATCATTTTCATTTCCATATCAAGTAAATGAGAGAGAAAGTTCCTTAACCTGAGCATTCTGAAGAGATTTAGAAAAATCCGGAATAGATGGAACTGAAATTTTGCAATTATTAATGTCCTAAAGCTTTATAAATTTTCAGTAAGTTATAAGTGTTTTTAATTGCGGAAATTTATAAAAAATCCTTTTAATGCAAATTTCCTTTTCACTTTAGAACTGGCTATAATTATTTGATCAAAATAAATGAAAAGGGGAGCATAGAATATCTAGAGGAACTAAATATAAGTTCATCAATTTTATGGATGAAAGAAGATTTAAGAAAGTTAGAAATATGTTTATCCTTCTTTAATACTCTAAAAACAATTTTTTCAATATCAAAGCCAACAAATGGCAATATAGATTTCACAAAATCATATTCTTTCTTTTCATAAAAAACCCAGTTGATGGATGGATCGAAAGCTTCTTCTTCATATTCTGGGCCAAATGAAAGAGTCTCAAATACACCAGGATAAAAATTGAAATAGACAGTCTGAAATATTTTTGATTCAACTTGCTTGTTACTTTGCTGTATATCCTTCTCTGACCTATAAACTAATAAATTTTAATAAAAATAACAAAAGTTCATCATAATTTCTGGGAAATTTTTACTCCTTTAATATTTCTTTATCTTAAAAACAAGCTAAATACTTCTATATCATATAACTCTTAAATTTCTTCCTATTCGCCCACTATGTGTATAAATTTCGCAAAGAGATTTCCAAGGCGCATCCTTTTTTTTTTAAATATTTCACTGAAAATCAAAGTGGCTGAAACCTCACCTTTCTCTCCTATTCATGTCTGTTGGATAGAGCTAAATTCTGTGCTCCATTTCAATTATTAAATTATATGAAGGGGTTTTGGGGTTTTGGGGTTTTGGGGTTTTGGGG